AAAACGAAGCTTTGAAACTTACCTTTAAAAAACACAATAATGTCTCCAGTAGAATGATACCATATCATACCTTTGTGGAATGCTATATACAGCGGGCAAATCCTTCACTCAATACCCACAATATACCTTGAAAATAGGTTTTATTATTACTGTTTTATAGAGTGGGAAGTGGAGAGTTAAAGTATTTATCTGGTACTTTATCAGTTGGAAGAGAGCTCGGATACTCCATACTCCCAGCTTGGCTTCTATTCTGTGTGCTCTCCCTATAACTCTATAGTCCTGGAGACAGATATTTTTCAAAATGTGGAAATAAAGAAATTGAAGCATGGATAAATTTAAATCACAGTTATTTCTTCTGAGAAACCCAAGTTCTTTATATTGATCCACACTGTATAAAATCAAAGTGAATCTCAGACTTAGCTTTAATGCACTAGAAAAAAGATAAAAAACATTCTCAGGCAGCAAAGAAGAAAGTTTAAATACACATGCAATATCTTTTTTCCCTGCTAATATTAGTCTTGGGCCTGCCTCTCTGTAAAGACAATTGATCTGAAAGTTGCCATTTTATAAGAAAAACATTGGGTTGGATTCTTTCTTTATAATCATGTGAAGGCAGATATTTAGTCATTTCTGACAAAAGCTGAACAAGAAATTGATTAGACATCTTCTTTCAATTCTTCCACAAACTGTTTCTTATTAATAAAGTTAATTTACCATAGATGCGATGAGGTGGTTAGGCCATTAGAGCATGAGATATATGGCATAGCCTATCATTTAAGAAAGTTTCTCTCAATTACTTCATGCAGGGAGAGAAGAACAAAAATGTGAAGGGAGAAGCTATTGAAGCATTAGAATTCACAATTTTTCTTTTCCAGAAAAATGAACTGTTTCTATATCTTTGAAAATATTACAAAGAATATGTAGAAGGAACAGAGGCAAAGGGGGGAAATATGTGGGTAGAGCATGCTTATGTAATAAATGGGGAAGCAAAACAAAGGAGAGTGTCCTATCCTTTCATTTTTATGGCAGCATCTATGTGAACATGCATATAAATAGTAAAAAATGAGGAAGAACCCCAAAATGCAATGCCTCTTTTGTGTGTAGGAGATAGGATGATGGATAATTGCTTCTCCTCTGCACTAGCCGCATTTGGGATGATGTTGAGTGTTCAGCTGAAGCTTCCCTTTGTTGCCCCCATAGTTCTGTTTCTCCTACTCAGAGCCAACTCCTATCATGAAATTAGGAGTGTATCTTTTTAGTGATTCATTATCCTTGAACTATAAATTGTTAAAGACATAGTATTTTAAATGTTTGTGTATGTGACATCTCAATTTTTCTTCTGCCACTTTTTTCCACGAAGCAGTTTTCGCATACCATGTTGGTGTGTGTAAGTCTAGTTCATTCATGATAATTGCTGTGTTGTGTTTCCTCAAATGAACCCACAACAGTTTATCCCCTTACTGAGGGGCACTTAGATTGTTTCAAACATTCACCATTTCATGTAATACGACAGCAATCATCCTCCTAGGTTTCTAGGTGAATATAAGCAAGTTTCTCAAGGCTATTTACTTAGAAGTAGAATTGCTAAATAATAAGTAAGCAACTTTGATCTTACTAGGTACTAAAAAATTATCCACTGAAACGGTGTGCCAAGTCTTACAAAGCGGTGTAAAGATTTCCCGTTTCTCTATTTCCTTGACAAATGAGGTATTACTTTCCGAGTATAACCTTGCTAATCTGATAGGTGTAGACTAAATTTTCATTGTCTTGCTATCCATTTTCTTGTTTACTGTGAATTTAGGTATTCAAGTTTACTCTTGTGTAATATCTGTCATGTACTTTTGTCCAGTTTTTCATGGGTTTGTCTTTTTCCTTTCCTATAGGCTTCAACTGAGTTTATGTGGATATTAACCCTTTGTTACACTTCACCATTAAGTATGAAATTCACTGAAGGTTAATCTAGTTAAAGTCTAACTCCATGGAATGTTTTGCGTCTATTAAAATAGTTTGTTTTTCTTCTGCTGTCAAAAGCATGATTAATTATAGTGATACATCTTCTGATGTTGAACTGTCCTTGAAGATTTGGAATAAATTCCAATTCTTAAGGCGTTTTTGTTTTTGTATTTGCGGGGGGTGGGGGGTGGGGTGGCGTTTGTACCAGGCATCAAACTCAGGACCTCAAGCTTGGCAGGCAGGCCCTGTCCACTGAGCTACATCCCCGACCCACTTGGATTATTTTTAATACCAATTAATTCATGTTTCCTGGATTTTATTAAGTGGATTTGGGCTCAAGTGTCTTGAGAGTGAGCTACATTTTTCTTATATTGTTTAATCATTTTGTGGTTGCTTAACAAAATTATATTATTCTCTTTAAAGGAGTATGTTTTTCCTCTTTTTTTGTTCTCAGAAAATGTTTAAATAAAGCTTGCCTATGAAATGATTTGTTAGAGAGCAAAAGGAAAGGTGCTATGAGGGTGAAGGCTGGCAGAGAGAAGAGTGAGGGTGTGCGTGTTATTGATCCAAGCCCTTTGATGATTTATTGGTAAACTAGGATTTTTGTTTCTTCCTCCATCAATGTGGTAAATTTATATTTCTATACAGATTTGCTAGTTTTCTCTAAATTTTCAAATTTATTGGCAGAGAACTGATCATAACATTTTCTTAGATTTTTGAAACCCTAAAACTGACTCTTTTGTCTCCCTTCTTATATTTGCTGTGTGTGTGTTTGCACTCATGTTCACTTATTTTCTCCATCAGTCCTGCCAGTGTCCAATCTAACATTAATATACCTACTTTAGTTTTTTTAGGTTGTATTTGGTTTGGGTCTCTTTTTCCATTCATTTATGTTTTTAGCATCATAAGCTGGATTTTTAAGCCATCCATTCAGATATAGTTTATTTTACTTGAAGTAGGTTAGTTCTATGTGCATTTATTATAATTTTTTATCTATTTTGGACTTTTTTGCCATTAAAATTCATGCAGTTTCTGTACATGTATTTTTCTTCCTTTTCTACCCTTTGAAAACATTTAAGCTTTTCATTGAATATTCCACAGTTGAGAAGTCAGATATTCTATTTCCATTCTTTTTAGTGCTTACAGCTAAATGTTGACATCTATAATTAACAAAGCCTGAGAGTCAAAATCTCTGTCCTACTGCCAAATCCAAAATTCTGAGAATGATTTCCATAGCCTTCTCCCACTTCCTTCCATGTGATTATTTAATACTTTTATTCCATCTTATTTGCAAACTTCTCCAAATTATTAATTTTTACAGTCAACATTTATTTAGATTTACCAATAGCTTTATAAGTTTCTCTGTGCATCATTGTTCTTTCTATTTCATTACTCGTTCAGTTTCTTTTGCCCAAACTACATCATACTGGTCCATTTCAGCAAAGACGTGCAGGTAATAAATGCATAATAAATTGCATTCCAGACACATCTTTGCTTCTTCCTCACTCTAGGATGGTAATTCAGCTGGAACAGAATTCCAGATCAATAGCTTCCTTTACCCAGTGTGTTGAGATTTTATCTATAATCTCCCACAAGTACTTACTAATGAATAGTCAGTCCACTGCCAGTCTGAATTCTGTCCTTAATAGATAAAGTTTCTCCCACATAGCTTTCACATTTTATTTGAGTTGTATTAATTTATTGCAAACTATATGTGTAGATTTACTGTTTCTCACTATGGAAGCTGCCTCAATAGGGGACTTCTTGTCCTTTTCAATTTTCAAAAAGTTTTGGCTGTGATCATTTGAATCCTGACCCCTCATCATCCCTTCTTTTCTCTCAGCACCCTGGCATCGGGATGCTGGGCCTTCACGGTCCAGCCGCTAGTCTCTTCACTTCTCTTTCCATATTGCCTACCTTTTAATTTATCTGTGCTACAACTCTGGGTGATTTCCTCAGATTAAGTAAATTTACCACTTCTTTATTCTGCTGCATTTCAGCCTCTGCAGTGATTTCTTGAAAAGAACCACATTTGTGTTTTTCAAGACTTTTTTTCCTGTCCCTAAATCTGTAAGTTCTTTGACAGCCTCTTGTTTTTACCTAATAGTATGTATTACTCACTGTATTTCACCGAACACTTGAAACACACTTATTTTAAATTTCTTTCATGTTATTCTGTCATTCCTTTCCCCCATGAGTTGCACCCTCTGACCTTGCCATGATGCCTCGTCTTTTTGTGTGGTTTCAGGTCTTAACTCTAAGCTTGTTTGAAGAGGGGACTGTTTCCTTTAGAAGCCTAGGAACCCTGGATTGTAGAGGCATCTTTTTGGAATTATTTCAGATTTGCATTAACAAGGAAAGTTTGAATTTCAAGTGCCAGTGTGAGCTTTATGTCTCTGAGATACACAGATTGAATGAACTTAGACCCCACATTTACACTTGGTGCTGGGCTTTGAGATAGATTTCTCATGGCTGATGCCTGCAGTTCTGATGGCCACAGTCAGAGAACAGGCTTTCTTGTGCATTCCCTGGGAGTACAGACAGTATTTCCTGAACTTGCTGTACAGCTGGAGCAGCACTGTATGACTCTGGACTCCCCCTGATCTCTCAGATACAGCCTTGCTTTCAGGTGAGGCCCGGGCTCGGACTTACTTTCTGACTCTGACATGAAGTCCCTGTCTGCCCAGTCATTCCATCTTCTCCATAGTTGACCTCAGTTTCCCCTGGAGACCCTTAGCAATCCCCACTTGCATCTCTTTATTATGGGTTTCCTCATAATGTCTGGCACCTGAGCGTTTTACTGTATTGATTTCTATGTGAGCTATGTGATCGTCACACAATATTTCACACTGTTCTGTTTCACCTAGAATGCCCATGTGTTGGGCGGGGGGGGGGGGGGGGCGGCGCCTTCCATATCTGCTTAGGGTGCTATATTGGCCAGGCATACATTACTTCTCTAAGGAGGAAAAAGAATACAAAGACCTCTAAAATGTGCTTAAAGAAATGTTTTACTTTAAGTAACCTTTTTTTCTCTCCATGATTCTCAGTGCTGAATTTGAAGAACCACATAATTATGAGGCAACAATTTCATATCTGAGACACTTGGGCAACTCCATTAACCTGTGCACTGCAGAAGAAATTGCTGACTGTAAGTCTGCCAGGCCAATTAATATTGTAACCCTGTGTGGAATAAAAATGTGTCAAAACTCATATTTTCCCTCTAGCTAACTGTAACTTTAAGAAAGTCACAGTCATTCTGTTCTACCATCTCATTTCTATTTTTTCCTATGTCTGGTGTCTTAAAAATTTAAATAAGGTGGGCATCACTGCTATTCATAACTCCTGTTCTTGCCATTTCCACTATTTACTTTCTCTTCACCAATCGATTCAGCTGCTTTTCCTTTTGTAGGTATGTGGGAGGAAAAATCAAGATATGGTGATTCATTTTTCTCCCTTCTCCTCCTATAGAAACCCGTCTCTCTTCTTCTGGTATCTTTCTCAAAGTCCCTGGTTCCTCAGTGTGTGGAGGGGGAGATGACAGACCATGAGAATTAGACTTCCGTGTCCAAACCGGATAGGAGAAGGGAGTTTAATGGCTCTGACCACTGGCTCAGAGTTAACCCTTCCGGCCTCTGGTACTGATGACAGCGCTCAGACCTTTTTATAAAAAAGGTAAAAAGATGAATGAGAGACTCCTAACATTTGTGCCAGTTTCAGGGTCTTTGTTCTCCCTGTAGAATCACCCAGTTCTCTGCAAAATCCATAAATATTAGAGCTGTAATAAACACAAGTATTTGTTGAGACTGGACTCTGGACTCTGGACTGTGGGTCCGAGTTAGGTTCTGTGTACTTGCCTGCTGGGAGAGAGGTTTTATCACCCTGCTGCTACAGGCAGGAACCTGAGGATCAGAGAGGTTGAGCTGCAGGAAGTCATACAAGTACAGATATTTCTCATTTAATGACCAAATCCCATTCCTGCAACTGGGTTGTTAAATGAATTTGGTGCTAAATGAGGAACTGTATGTAGTATACGCATTACAATATTCAGAGCAAAGAAATGGTCAAAGGGAACTCCAACTTGCTGACTGCTTTTATTTGCATAACTCGTACATGCAGTACTACAATGTATAACAACATAAAACTACAGTACAATCAGCAAAAATTATTGTACTGTACTATAGAAGAAGCCATCATAAAGCCTCACTGCCACTCATGTTCCTGCACTGTAAGTCGAAACACAGGTCATAAGTCTGAAGAGTCCTTAAGCAGGTGGGTGGTTAAACAAAGAATTCTGTAATATGTGGTACAGCACTAACATGTGCTGCTTTTCACCCAAGGAAGTGGTTCCCCTGGAAGGAAGGTTAAAGGGAGGGCATCTAGTCTGTCATACACAGAGGAAGCTCAGTGTTCTGGGAAAGGAAGTTCTCTTCCTAGGAGTACACACTTAGGAAGTTCATCAATTCAGAATGAGGGCTCACCTTGGCTGTAAGATTATAGATTAATTATTAATGCATTTAGGGGTTATTCAGAAATATCAGGTAGTTTATGCCTCTCTGATCTTTCTTTTCTCCTGACAATGTGAAGGGACAAATAAATGTATATGGTAAATTTTAAAAGAGGGTCTATTGAAATTTCTAGCCCCTAGCCCAAGAAATAAAAGGCTAGAAAATTTCCTCTGTGCTGGACTGGGTAAAGACCAGATTCTTATAAAATACAAGCTATAAGTAAAGTGATTCCTGCCCTTAACAGGGCAATGATGCTACACACACAAACACACACACTTTTGAACAGGGCTTTTTACACTTTAGCATTCACATAAATCTCCTGGTGATCTTGTCAAAATATGGACTGTGGTTCACTGGCTTTGGCATACGGCAGGGGAGTCTGAACTTCCAGCGAGGCCATGGTGATGCAGATGCTGTTGGTCTACAGAACTCACTGGATAGAAAGGCTTTGTGCTGCATTTGAGCCAGATTCCAACTACTGCCTTTCTTCAAGGCTAAAAGCTCCCGGGGCCAAGGCTGCTCAGTCACAGCCTGTACCTTCTCTCTCTGGGCTGCATGAGACTCCCTAACCCCACAGCCCTGCAAAGCACTCTTCAAGATCTCCCTAAGTTCTTCCTCATGCCAGACTGGGCTTCAGGGAAAGCTCTTTGCATGATTAGGGTGGTGAGGAGGAGGAGTTTTGCATACATGCAGGCTTCTCAGGGAATAAGGGGAAACTGAGGGTCAGATGTGGGAAGCTGGACCAGAGACCTGCATTATTCTCTCCAGGCCACAAATTCTAACAAGTGAGCCTTCTGGGGGTGCCATTTTAGATGACCAAAGAAGGAATTGCTAGGCCAGGCCACTCCTCCGTCTTTCCTTGAGGAATTCTTGTATTTTAAAGGACAGTGCTGAGGCAGGCCTGCGCATGCCCTACCGAGGTCACGAGTCGCGTCGAACACGCCAAATCAGCCCGCGCCCCAGCAACAATCCACTGGACACCCCACCCCGCCCCCCGCCCCACTCCTCTGTACAGCCACCTGGTTCCACACTACAAAGACGCAGAGGACACCAGACCGAGGTACTGAGTCCCGCTGCTCCCGGCACAGAGGTAGGGGCTTCTGAGCCACCGTCCTACTGCTCCTGGACCAGAGGAAGGGGCTTCCCGGTCACCATCCCTCCCGCTGCTCCCAGCCCAGAGGAAAGGGCTTTTGGGCCACCATCCCTACCGCTGCTCGCGTCCCCTGTCCCATCTCTCCCAGCTCAGAGGAGGTAATCCGTGCAAGCGCCAAGAGTGCCCCCCCCCGAGTTGAAACGAGAAAACATGTAAATAAGTCTCAAAACCAGACTTCCAGATCACCTACAGCAACCCCAAAGGGAAATGACATGGAACACTCTGATACTCAACCACCTGGACCCA